TTTTTTATTAAATTTTCTTTAATGGTTTGGGAGTTATTTTTTTAATTTCATTTAATTTTTAAGAACTTGTTTTTTTCTATTTAAAATATTTTTTTCTTTAGTTTTTTTTTAATTTTCCTATAATTTTTTATTATTTTTTTATTGTGTAAAAAGTAAAAGTAGTTTTTTTAATTTCATTTACTTTTTAGACGTTTATTTAGTTTATTTTTCTTTTCATAAATTTAATTTATTACCCTTTTGTTAATTTCAAATTCTTTTAGTTTTTAGATTTTATTGTTTTAACAAGAAAAATATATGTATATATTTTTTCCATTTAATTTTGACCATCTTATTAAAATTTTTTAATAATTATTTTTTATTTTTTTTACATAAAAATATTTTTAATCTCAGTTAATTTTTAAGTGCTATTTCCTTATTTTTTATTAATTTCTTTTTCTAATTTAATTTTCGTTTCTTTATTCATTTTTAGTGTTTTAAAAAGAATTATAGATATTTATATATTTTGAATTAAACTTCTTTCTTTTAAAACTTAATGCCAAAAGGCGAACAGCATAACGCTAAGACCTCGTCGTTAGCAGATCTTTCAATTAGTCTTTCTAAAGACAGTAAAGAGCTTTCAAGATGGCTGCCAGAATTGACAATTATCTTGCAAAAGGCTTCTGTCTTTCGAAAGGCTGCGGTGAGTTGAAAGACAGTTGCCGGAATTGCCCTGGTAATGTAAGGTAATTTTTTTGGGTGCAACTGAAACAAAGGTCACCACGGCCAAGAAGATCTTTTGTGTTTTGATGTTGATGTTATTAGCCTCCCTTATAAAAGCTGAAAGTTTCTTGGTAGACGAATTCCTAACCTTAAAGGCATAGACTGTGGAAGAACTGAAGTATTGCAGTCTTAGTTTGGTTAATGCTGGAAAATCACACATAGTGTGCTCCGACATCTCTTCATCTTCAAGCAAAATGCGGCAGTCTGCGGTAAGCTCAATCCAGTGCACGGGAGCGGGCAGGTGTTTATGTTCGGTTGGGTAGCTAATAAGCAACTTGATATTGGCTATGTTCAAGAGATTTATATCTCTCCTAAGGTCGGTAATTAAATGCAGAACGTAGGCGGACACCGCGTAAAAACTCTGAACTGCAAGGCCGCTATTATACCTCAGTAACGTTCGGTTTTGAATTTTAGCGCTTCGAATATAGAATGATGTAGAATCTTGAATTACAGGTCGTAAATCTTTCAATAAGCCAACTATTATCATCCCGGAACGGCTTTGATTGGGAGCAGATATGTATGTAGCTCCTGGCTTTCGTACGTAAGTAGCGTTGATCATTAGAGCAAGCCAGGGTTATATTGGAAATAGATTGCAAGCATAAATTGGCGTAGAATACACAGAAAATAGACCCAGCCTGACTTGCCATTTGACTAAATCCGTGGACCACGCGAATGGGCGTAGCCCAGCGGAGCACAAAGCTGTAGTAAGAGCCTCACAGAAAAAATTGTAACTGTTTGAGGTTGTAGCTTTCCGTCTACTCCAGTCCAGAATTAATTACTAAATTTCTCCTTCATGCAAAAGTTTTATTCTGTGTTTCCAACTGCGGTGTTTCTAGCGCTACTTGCCACTTGAAGATATTGCCGATGAAGTCGAGAATATATCAAAAGTTTGGTTTTTGAACCCAAAAAATACATCCATTTGCTTATTAATTAAATAAACAATTTCAATTGAAGCCATATAATAACTCCATTCATATAGATATGTCAACATCGAGATCTCGTACAACAAACATGAATACCAGTAGTACATATTATGTCTACTTATAGCCCCTCCCCTGACATCAATGGCACACTACAAAAGTGGTAGTTTTAGCGATCGTTGTAATTATTGTTATGAATACCATTTCAGTTGGCTTATAACGTAACTAGCGTCGGTGGTGGTACGCGGTAGTAATAAGAACCACGTCCGCAAAAATAGCAGCCCAATACCCCACATCAGTTGTTGTTGCCAACAGCAACTCACACAATGCCTTGCATGGCTGCCTGACTGACAGACTTTTTTTAAAGTTTGTTTTTTGCTGTCTTTGCATTGTTCAAATTCATGGCAGGGTTAATGTACCACCTCTGGGCACATGTTGTACCCATTCGGGCGCACACAAACGCATACACAGCTGCATACAGTATCAGTCATAACATTAGTACCCCAATTTCAAAGTGATATTGTTTGCCACTTATATTTATTTATTTATTTTTAAGAATTTTCATTAAAATTAACTTAAAACTTTGTAGAAAACTAGAAAAAATTCAACAAATTTTCATCCAAATTTCAAACTTTTTTCTCAAAAGCGTTAGAAAGCAAGTTTCAAGTGGCAAAAAATTATCGTTGATTTTTTAGAATTTCTTGTATTTAGTAGGTGTTGCGGTTTTCTTCCACATAAAATTATTTGTGTTTATTCGTTATATGGAGGCAAGTGCTACAACGACTAATTCTGGGAAATCAACGGTAATATTTAGCCACGTGAAACTTGCATATTGCACTCAAACTGAATGGGCTATAAAACTGTATACTTAAAAAAATTCTAACACTTCCCATTTTTCTCAGTTTGAAGTTTGGATGGAAATTTTTAGAACTTTTTTTAAATTTTGCTATACATTTTACATTGGTTTTGCTAGACAATGAACTGTGCTTTAATTGAAAATTGTTAAAAAGAAATAAATAAACATAAGTTGCAAACAATATCACTTTCAAATTGTGGTGCTAACGATATGACCGATACTGTAATTACTTACATACTTATTTAATTCATTTTGGTGTGCAACTGTAAATAATAAAATCAAGTACATTCTGGGGTAACCATTAAATAAAGAGCGCATAGTATTTAGTTGGAATTATGATCAAAATGAAAATTCAACAAAATACAAAAAAAAACAAAAAACCAAACATAAAAATGTGGCGCGCAACGTTTAAAAACGCGTCAACATTAATTGTTGAAAGTTAGTGAAGCGTTTAGTGGCGTTGTGTGTGTGTATTGGCAAATAGTGGTTTTCATTGCTCGCATTCCGTTTTTTATAAAAAAAAAAACTCCCTTACCGCTTCTTACATTCGGGTTAGTTTTAGGTGCCAAATACTTTAGTAGCGCCCGCAAACCTCTGAACCTTTGACTGTTTTCGTCTGGAACCTCAAATGTTTCTTATTTTCATTGAAGGCCACCAGCCTCAACAGAGTGGAGGTTTAGTACAGTATTTAGCTGTAATCATCCGCTCACGGAAATGGGCTTCGAAGTGACTCAGGGATTAATATTGTTCTAAATTCCCATTTTCACGGACGCTCATAGGGAGAAGGTGTGGCGTTTTCTCTCTGCAATTAGGTCTGTGAGTGGCCTATATACACCCAGATCACTGTTGCGATTTCCAGGGAGATATACGTACATGCATTTGACATGGCGGCAAAGCTGGTCTCTACAAGCTCTTCACAATCTCTACTGGCTCCCGAGACATTGTGCTATTTCAGGAAATAAGAAAGCAAACGAGTGTGCTTAAAAGGAATCTGAGATAGGATTAGATGAAACGGTTGAGAAAGTTGATTCAACCTCACATGAGGCTTTTAATGCAGCCTGGCTGTCGCTGCAGATGACAATGTGCTCCTTCTTGATTATCACTGCAGAAATATTTCCGCACAAGCGCTTATGGCGTAAACCTCCGCTTGAAATATACTAGAATAGTTAGCCAGGGGAATGGAGAGCTTGGCGCTAGGGCCACAAATTCCTGCTCCTATCCCTTCGTCAATTTTTCAGCCATCACTGAACCATCTTTGAAGGTGTTCTCTAAGATTGTCTCATTCCAGATCGCTTTGTTGCCTAGTTCAGTCCTGAATTTTGACTCAAAGTTTGTCATCGTACCTATGTCATCTCTGTTGAGCTGGAAGGTAGGAATCTTGGATCTGATTTCATCTCTCATTCCGCTCGAGTTCACCTTTCATTGCGGATACCTATTTAGAAGGTCTGTTGATTTTGAGTGGTTTAGCCACTTATACCCTGTCGAAGTTCTATCTTACGGCCAGTTTTGTTTCAGCCATTTATTTGCATTTCGGTTGCACTTCTCTGTTGATTGCTTCAACATGATAGCACGATGTCTCTGCTGTGAAACCCAATTACTCGTCCATTGAGTTTAACACCGCCCTGCAGTCTCCTATTTTCGAGCTTGTAACTAGTCATGCCAGCGACAGGAGTGGTGCTCTACTAACTGAGTAGATATGCACCCTTTTTACCATGTCGCAATTATTATTATTATTTTTTTTTAGAAATGCTCAGGCTCTCTCCGTAATTAAGATAAGTGGTCGAGACGAGAAAGACACAGAATACTTGGGTCCAATCGGTTTAAAAAAATTGCAATGGAATTATCTTCATTTGCGGTGTCTGTTCTACAGTTCTCATAGAGTATATTATCTTATCAAATCCACTATGCGTTTGATAAGCCACAGAAAAGTTAGATAAGATAACTTATATTACGTATGGAGTCTGGTAAATTAACCGATAGTTTTTGCTAGTGACCCAAATGGGATGAGTCTTACCCTGAAATAGAAAAAATCTTTAATAGGAAGAACGCTGCTCTAGCCTTAAAATTTTGGATTCGACCTATTATTTTTTATACAGAGTGAGAATTACAAAAAATGAGCTAAGAAGTCGAATGAAATAATAAACAAATAGTAAAAGCTGTCGCTTAAGCAGATTGCGTTGCATACTTTTAGGCGCACCATTTGCTTATAAAAAAAAAAAAAAAAAAACTGAGAGAAGGCGCAACGCCCTAAAAGATTTGATTTCTTTTCTGGTAGTATACACTCCAATTGACCAATATTCATTAATAATATCTCTCGTACAGCAAGGCTTAAAAAGTCATTTGTATACTGCATTTCTTCTATTAATTGCCTATGCTTTTTATGGTGCACAATTGGGATTTTATTAGCTATTATTATACATATTTTTAAATAATCACGTTCTTTTTGTATTTCTTACCACCAACAGGGTGACTACATCTGGATAGAACCCGCATCGGGTAGGGAATTCGATGTAGCCATTGGCGCTCGTGTCATATCGGCCGAAGGTAGACGCATACAGGTACGCGACGATGATGGCAATGAAATTTGGCTATCGCCCGAACGGCGCATCAAGGCGATGCACGCCTCCTCGGTGCAGGGTGTGGAGGATATGATATCGTTGGGTGATCTGCACGAGGCGGGCATATTGCGAAACTTACTAATACGTTACAAGGAGAACTTGATATATGTGAGTAAATATGAGGCAAAAAAACCTTCAACTACATAAAAATATCTAACTATATAAGCTTCATTAAACTCCCATTTATCTCCTTTTACAGACTTACACCGGCTCAATTTTGGTTGCTGTTAATCCCTATCAAATTCTACCCATCTACACCGCCGATCAAATCAAGTTGTATAAAGAGCGCAAGATCGGCGAATTGCCACCACACATTTTCGCCATTGGTGACAATGCGTATGCGCATATGAAACGCTATCGTCAGGATCAATGTATTGTCATTTCGGGTGAATCGGGCGCCGGCAAGACTGAGAGCACAAAATTGATATTGCAATATTTGGCTGCAATAAGTGGCAAACACTCGTGGATCGAGCAACAAATACTTGAAGCGAATCCAATACTCGAAGCATTCGGCAATGCGAAGACGGTGCGCAATGACAACTCGTCGCGGTAAATTCTAAGCTGAATTATTGAGGAAAAATTTTCCCTAAGGTCTCTTTGTTATTTTGCAGCTTTGGCAAATACATCGATATACACTTCAGCTCGAGTGGTGTCATCGAAGGCGCCAAAATCGAACAATATCTCTTGGAGAAATCTCGAATAGTTTCGCAAAATCATAGCGAACGTAATTACCATGTATTTTATTGCCTTTTGGCTGGGCTGTCGGGCGAGGAGAAGAGACGTTTGGATTTGGGAAATGCCGCTGATTATAAGTGAGTAGCTGCGCTGAAGAATTGGGTTTCTCATAACGTTTTTTGTGTATCGTGGAGTGAAATAGAAAAACCGTATTTACCAAAATGTACTTTGGATGCAATTTAGAAGCTTCTAGTCTGCATGTAGGAACATCTTCGAGACAATACAAGCTGAACCTGCACTGGGTAAACTCGCTATTCACGTTTTTCCTTAACGTCCCAAAAGATTTTCAATGCGCGATGGAAATGTAAGAAATTTTGTACCTAGCCTTATGTCAGGCACCTGTGACCGCCCCCAGCCAAGTCTTTCCTTTTCTGGTTACTCGTGTAGCTCTAGTTGTCAATATTTCTTCTGGAGCTATGTATATTATAATTGGTTCACAAAAAACCCTTCCTCATCTAATTCAATACTATTCGAAATCCGTAAAAATGATTATAGCGGAAAGGTATTTGGGATTCTTCCCATTCTTTAACTTCATTGATTCAAATCTCGTCACCGATATTCGCTGGTACGATCGCTGCAGTTTGCTTGGCTAAGGAAAACGGATGCGAATATGAACACGAAAAAATCCGAATACAAATCGATTTTGTTGACGGCATCGAATAACATTACCGCCAAAATCGATTTCGATAACTCTTTATCGATAATAATGCCGATATCGAATAAAATTCATGAAAAAATCCGAATACAAAACGATTTGGTTGACGACATCGAAACATATTACCGTTAAAATTGATTTCGATAGCGCTTTATCGATAATAATGTCGATATCGATTAATATGCATTTTTGCTTTGACATATTTTTGTAACCATACATACGTACTTAAGTGTGCGTGTGTAAACGAACCGAAAAACCGGTAGTAATTTCGATAAATGTAGAAGCGATAAGTCGATAACGCTGTCGGTAAAAATTTTGGTGGCTAGCGCAACGCAAAAAAACTAAATTACAGCCACATCGATAAACGCATCGTTAATAGTGTATATAATAGTTTCGGTAACAGTGGGTTCTAGTATACAAATTAATTGATAGTTATAACGATACATTACCGGTAAAAAAAAACGGATATCTAGTTAACGAATCGATAAGTATGTCAATAACAGTTTCGATAGTTATGCTAACAGCAGTATACCCCGAAAGATTGTATTTTAAATTGAACTAAAAAGATAATTTCAAATGCCCGGTATAGCCTGCGCAATTATTAAGGAATATTCCGAGTAACTCAGAAAATATATTTATATTCAGTAATATTCAAAGGGCTGCAGCTGCAGACTATTTGTGTAATTTATTTGAATATTGAAACTTGGCATTCACTTTCTTTGCGAAAATATTTCTCACTCCCTCTTTTCTTCCACACAGATATCTCACCGGCGGCGATTGCATTACGTGCGAGGGTCGCGACGATGCCGCTGAGTTTTCAGACATACGCTCCGCCATGAAAGTGCTGCTCTTTTCCGATCAGGAGATTTGGGAAATCATTAAGCTGCTCGCAGCACTCCTACACTGCGGCAACATACGATACAAGGCGACCGTTGTCGATAATCTGGATGCAACCGAAATACCCGAACACATAAATGTGGAGCGCGTTGCTGCTTTACTCGGCCTTCCCATGCAGCCGCTAATTGATGCATTGACGCGTCGTACACTTTTCGCGCATGGCGAGACAGTAGTTTCAACGCTGTCCCGCGATCAGTCGGTTGACGTGCGCGACGCCTTCGTAAAAGGCATTTACGGCAGAATGTTTGTGCATATTGTACGCAAAATCAACTCGGCTATCTTTAAGCCGCGCGGCACTTCGCGTAACGCAATTGGCGTGCTGGATATTTTCGGTTTTGAGAACTTTGATCAGAATAGTTTTGAGCAATTTTGCATTAATTATGCCAACGAGAATTTGCAGCAATTCTTCGTGCAACACATTTTCAAGCTGGAGCAGGAGGAGTACAATCATGAGGCAATCAATTGGCAGCACATCGAATTTGTGGACAATCAGGATGCGCTCGATTTGATTGCCATCAAGCAGCTGAATATTATGGCACTGATTGATGAGGAGGCCCGCTTTCCCAAGGGCACCGATCACACGATGTTGGCGAAGCTGCATAAAACGCACGGCGCGCATAAGAACTACTTGAAACCGAAGTCAGATATTAACACGAGCTTCGGTTTGAATCACTTCGCTGGTGTGGTGTTTTATGATACGAGCGGCTTCTTGGACAAAAATCGCGACACCTTCAGCCCCGATTTGTTGCACTTAGTTAGCCAGAGCTCGAATAAATTCTTGCGCCAAATATTCAATCCGGATATAGAAATGGGTGCTGAGACGCGCAAGCGCACGCCCACTTTGTCAACGCAATTTCGCAAAAGCTTGGACGCGCTGATGAAGACGCTCAGCACCTGCCAGCCCTTCTTCATACGCTGCATCAAACCGAATGAGATGAAAAGGCCAATGCTGTTCGATCGTGGCCTATGCTGCCGCCAGCTGCGCTATTCCGGCATGATGGAAACGATACGCATACGTCGCGCTGGCTACCCCATACGCCATGGCTTTCGAGATTTTGTTGAGCGCTATCGCTTTCTCATACCGGGCGTACCGCCAGCGCATCGCACCGAATGCCGATCGGCCACCGCGCGCATATGCGCCACTGTGCTTGGCAAATCCGATTATCAGCTAGGCAATACAAAGGTCTTCCTCAAAGACGCGCATGACCTCTTTCTTGAGCAGGAACGCGATCGTGTGCTCACGCGCAAGATACTAATACTGCAGCGCAGCATACGCGGTTGGGTATATCGGCGTCGTTATTTGCGCATGCGCGCTGCTGTTATCACCATACAACGCTTTTGGAAGGGCTATGCGCAGCGTCAGCGTTATCGCCAGATGCGCGTGGGCTACATGCGCTTGCAGGCGCTTATACGCTCGCGTGTATTGTCACATCGCTTTCGGCACTTGCGTGGCCACATTGTTGGACTGCAGGCGCATGCGCGTGGCTACTTGGTGCGACGCGAATATGGACACAAAATGTGGGCAATCATAAAGATACAGTCGCATGCGCGACGCATGATTGCGGTGCGCAAGTACAAGAAGCTGCGCGAGGAGTACAAGCAGTTTGCGGAGGTTTTACACTTGCGCAAGCTGGAGGAGCAGGAGCTGATGCATAAAGGTAACAAGCATGCGCGTGAGATTGCCGAACAGCACTACCGTGACCGGCTGCATGAGTTGGAACGACGCGAGATGGAGAAGGAGATTGAGGAGCGTAGACGCGTGGAGGTGAAGAAGAATATCATAAACGATGCAGCGCGCAAGCAGGATGAGCCAGTAGATGATAGTAAATTGGTGGAGGCTATGTTCGACTTTCTGCCTGATTCGAGCAGTGAAGCGCCAACGCCGCATGGTGGACGAGAGACGTCGGTCTTCAACGATTTGCCGAACAACACCATGAATAACGACGTGCGTGGCATTTATATATTTTTTATGTAATCTATGATAATTCTATTCTATTAAATTGACTTTTTTCATCTTCAGGATATAATTGCCCCAATGCACGTATCCGAAGATGAGGAGGACCTATCGGAGTTCAAGTTCCAGAAATTCGCCGCCACCTACTTCCAAGGCAACGTGACGCATCAATACTCGAAGAAGGCGCTGAAGCATCCGCTGCTGCCGCTGCATACGCAAGGCGATCAACTGGCTGCGCAAGCGCTCTGGATAACTATTTTGCGTTTCACGGGCGATATGCCCGAGCCCAAGTATCACACAATGGACCGCATGGACACCACCTCTGTTATGTCGAAAGTCACAGCCACGCTGGGTCGCAATTTCATCAGGAGTAAGGTAGGCGCAATTAAGGCTCGCATGCAAAATTAAAAACTAAATTCCGTATTCTTTTTCCTACCAGGAATTCCAAGAAGCACAATTGATGGGTCTGGACCCCGAAGCATTCCTCAAGCAAAAGCCGCGCTCCATACGCCACAAACTCGTCTCGCTCACGCTGAAACGCAAGAATAAACTCGGCGAAGATGTGCGTCGGCGACTGCAAGACGAGGAGTACACCGCCGACAGTTATCAATCCTGGCTGCAATCGCGCCCTACCTCCAACTTGGAGAAATTGCATTTCATCATCGGGCATGGCATATTGCGCGCCGAGCTGCGCGATGAAATCTATTGTCAAATATGCAAGCAACTCACCAACAATCCGCTCAAATCCTCGCATGCACGCGGCTGGATACTGCTCTCACTTTGCGTCGGCTGTTTTGCACCCTCTGAAAAGTTCGTTAACTACTTGCGCGCCTTCATACGCGAGGGACCGCCCGGCTATGCGCCATACTGCGAGGAGCGTCTCAAACGCACTTTCAACAATGGCACGCGCAATCAACCACCGTCTTGGCTGGAGTTGCAAGCGACAAAGTCGAAGAAACCAATAATGCTGCCGATTACTTTCATGGATGGTAATACGAAAACACTACTCGCCGACTCGGCTACCACAGCGCGTGAGCTGTGCAATCAATTATCCGATAAAATTACGCTCAAGGATCAATTTGGCTTCTCGCTCTACATCGCGCTCTTCGACAAAGTTTCATCGCTTGGCAGCGGCGGTGATCACGTCATGGACGCAATATCGCAGTGTGAACAATATGCGAAGGAGCAGGGTGCGCAGGAGCGCAACGCGCCGTGGCGTCTCTTCTTTCGCAAAGAGATCTTTGCGCCCTGGCACGACCCTACACAGGATCAGGTCGCCACAAATCTCATCTATCAGCAGGTGGTGCGTGGCGTCAAGTTCGGCGAATATCGCTGCGACAAGGAAGACGATTTGGCAATGATTGCCGCTCAACAGTACTTCATCGAGTACGGGACGGATATGTCCATGGAGCGGCTGTTCACGCTGCTGCCCAACTTCATACCAGACTTCTGTTTAACAGGCATTGAAAAAGCGATCGAGCGTTGGGCAGCGTTGGTGTTGCAGGCCTACAAGAAGTCCTATTATGTGCGCGACAAAGTGGCGGCGTTGAAAATAAAAGAGGACATTGTGAGCTATGCGAAATTGAAATGGCCGCTGCTCTTCTCGCGTTTCTACGAGGCCTATCGTAACTCGGGGCCGAATTTGCCGAAGAATGATGTGATCATTGCGGTGAACTGGACGGGTGTATATGTAGTGGACGATCAGGAGCAGGTGCTACTGGAGCTGAGCTTCCCGGAGATCACGGCAGTGTCCAGTCAGAAGACAAACAAAGTTTTTACGCAGACTTTCAGTTTGTCCACCGTGCGCGGTGAGGAATTCACTTTCCAGAGCCCGAATGCGGAGGACATTAGAGATTTGGTGGTGTACTTCCTGGACGGGCTAAAAAAGCGGTAAGCAGCGCTTTCGAAGTGCTATTTCAAGGTATTTCAATTATTTATATTCTCTTGCAGCTCCCACTACGTGATCGCCATTCAGGATTATCGCGCGCCCTCAGACGGTTCGAGCTTCCTCTCATTTCTCAAAGGCGATCTCATCATACTCGAGGACGAGTCGTGCGGTGAATCTGTGCTCAACAACGGCTGGTGCATTGGTCGCTGCGATCGCTCGCAAGAGCGTGGCGACTTTCCTGCGGAAACCGTTTATGTGCTACCCACACTCACGAAGCCACCACAAGACATACTGGCACTGTTCAACGTTGAGGAGGCACATCATGGCCGTCGCTTAAGTATGGTTTCAAATGGTGTGCCCGAAGCGCGCGATCGCCCACACACACTAATGGAATACGCCATGGACCACTTCCGTTTGCCGCCAAAGCGCACTATGTCGAAGACGCTCACGCTCAGCTCAAAGCGCGCTGATGAGATTTGGCGCTATTCGCGTGATCCCATCAAGGCGCCGCTGTTGCGTAAGTTGCAGAGCAAAGAGGAGCTCGCCGAAGAGGCCTGTTTTGCATTCGCTGCCATACTAAAGTATATGGGCGATTTGCCGTCGAAGCGGCCGCGCATGGGCAACGAGATCACCGATCACATTTTCGATGGTCCCCTCAAGCATGAAATTCTGCGCGACGAAATCTACTGCCAAATCATGAAACAACTGACGGATAATCGCAATCGCATTTCAGAGGAGCGTGGCTGGGAGTTGATGTGGCTGGCGACCGGTCTCTTTGCCTGTTCACAGGGCTTACTCAAGGAGCTCATGATGTTCTTGCGTACGCGCCGTCATCCCATCTCGCAGGATTCCATGCATCGCTTACAGAAAACTATACGCAACGGCCAACGCAAGTATCCGCCGCATCAGGTGGAGGTCGAGGCGATACAGCACAAAACCACACAAATTTTCCATAAAGTCTACTTTCCCGACGACACCGACGAAGCGTTCGAGGTGGATTCATCGACGCGCGCAAAAGACTTCTGCCACAATATCTCACAGCGCTTATCGCTGCGCACCAGCGAAGGTTTCTCGCTCTTTGTCAAGATTGCCGATAAGGTGATCTCAGTGCCGGAGGGTGATTTCTTTTTTGACTTTGTGCGTCATTTGACTGATTGGATTAAGAAAGCGCGCCCGATACGCGATGGCTCAAATCCACAATTCACCTATCAGGTATTCTTCATGAAGAAACTTTGGACCAACACTGTGCCGGGCAAGGATCGCAATGCCGATCTGATATTCCACTATCATCAAGAGTTGCCGAAATTGTTACGCGGCTATCATAAGTGTTCGCGCGAGGAGGCGGCCAAATTGGCTGCGCTCGTTTTCCGCGTGCGCTATGGAGAGAACAAGCAGGAGCTGCAGGCCATACCGTAAGTGTGGAAAGTTACGAGTGACTGTAGCGTATGTGAAAATGTTTGTTTATCTTTCAGACAAATGCTGCGCGAGCTGATACCTTCCGATATAATGAAAATGCAAAGCACCAGCGAATGGAAGCGTGCCATTGTGGCTTCATACAACCAGGATGGCGGCATGACCTCGGAGGATGCCAAAGTGGCATTTTTGAAGATCGTATACAGGTGCGTTATTGTGACTATGGTTGTTTTAGTGTAATATGTATAAGTTCATGTGACAAAATGTGGTATGATGTGATGTGGCAAGTTATTGATTGTGAGGTTAATGTCACAAGATGCTGGAAGTGGGGTATTTTCTTTGATGTAAAATTATGGAAACGAAGTCAAATCACGTTAAGTCATCAGATATAAGACAGCGTCATGAGCTGTGGAAATAGAATGAGATATAATTTGTTATGATGCGATGATATTTCATAATGTGATGCGACTTTTTATAATAACGGTTATCAAAATTTCATTTCAATTTTTTCTTGCTTTCTTCTTTTTAGATGGCCCACATTCGGTTCCGCCTTTTTCGAGGTTAAACAAACAACCGAGCCAAATTACCCAGAAATGCTGCTAATTGCAATCAACAAACATGGCGTCAGCCTCATACATCCCGTGACCAAGGTAAATTAATTTTTTTTATTAATTATTCGCATAAAATTTAGAGTTTTAATTTTCTTTTTACCTACTTTCAGGACATTTTAATCACGCATCCATTCACGCGCATATCCAATTGGTCCTCTGGCAATACCTACTTCCACATGACAATCGGTAATTTGGTGCGCGGCTCTAAGCTGCTGTGTGAAACATCGTTGGGCTACAAAATGGATGATCTATTAACTTCATATATATCACTTATGTTAACGAATATGAACAAAAATCGCACTATACGAGCAAATTAGTTATTAGAAATAAATAGTTTTTAACTAGCGAAAAGAAATGAGAATGATGAAAATTAGAAATTGAACAACTAAGTGAAGAAACAATTATCGAAAGAGAACATACAAAATTTCGATGGTTGGTGATGATGTTTGAAAACAGAATAATAACACATTTTGTAAGAAATTTTATTATTTTTGAAAAAAAAAAATAAAAATAATAAATCGTACTTACGAGCTAAACTTTATTGTTAAGTAGCTGCACGCAAACTCAGCTATTCAAAGTTATCTTTTCGAAATTGTATTGTTTTAAGCTTTCATCATTCGATGTACTAAAAATTTATGCGGGAATTTGTTTTTCATCTTTTCGTTTTATTTTTCTTTTTCTTGTTAAAACTAAACGAATATTTATTAAAATGTATTGCAATTTTAGGCTATACACAACAAGTTAGCTATAGAATTATTTTATTTATAAACTATTTTATTTATCCAAAAATGCAATGCATGCATACATAAATATGTATGTATGTATATTAAAGTGCATAAAGGAAGTTGGAGTAGCGCATTTATTTGTATGAAAGAAGAAGAAGAAGAAGAAGAAAGCAAAAACAAAGTGCACTTAGCAACAGCTATACGCTGGCAGTTGTCGGAAATATGCTAGTATTTACTATATGAATATTGAATATAAACATTTAATTTTCTTAAACTGCAATAAATTTACTGTAGCATTTTATTTAAAATTTGCGCATTAGATACACATACATACATACTTATAAAATAATTTAAAATATTCACACAATATTTAAGCAATAAGCGAATAAAAAATTATATATCTGCTTATGTACTTCATTGCAAATGAAAATCGTACTGAAATCGTAACTATTTTTTGTGTATGTTAAAAATGTACTTAAATGTGTATATTTTTTTTTTAACTATAAATAAAGTGAAAATTTAAAACGAAAATGTATTTTTAATTACTGCTTTTGCACACTTAGAGACAACAAAATTAGTACACATATCAAGTGTATAAAAAAATGGTAAACTTTTTTATGAAAGAAAATGTTTTTCAAAATTCACAAAAACGAGAAAATTTAAGCAGGAATTTCTCTGTCTGGCAAACTTCATGAACTCTAAACGGTAACTTTTCCGCGTAGCAGGACAAGTAGACTACTAATTTTAAAGTTATCTTTTACAAAAAGAGATTCAGCTCTTTCATAAAATCCTAAAATTTGCCGCTCCCGATTTTAACTCATGGCACAAAGCTACGAGGGCAGTTAAATAAGTATTTTTTTACTTCCTCAACATAATCATTTTTAGGTTCGAAGGTTAGTTAAGACTGGTTGGACATTGCGTGGCTTCACTGAAACCATTAAGGTTCTTTCCTCTTTTTGCGGCTGCCTCGAGATTTGGTAGAAAACAGACGTCGGAAGACAAAACCGCATCCTACAAAGATCTGAACCATAATAGGGGTCTAAAAAAGCTGCAGAAACAGTAGAAACAAGTAATTTTTAGCAAAAAAAAAACCGGCTTCAATTCTCATATAAAAATATATATATGTATATATATATATATCTCATGATCCGATGATTGGATCTAAACCGGATTAGTACGGGACAACCTCTGAAACACTACCTTTCCGATGCAGAATTATCGAAATCGGTCCAAAGTTATGCGGTAACATACATAAAAACAAAAAAAAAATATTCCGACGAACTGATAACCTCCTCCATTTTTGGAAGTCGGTTAAAAATAATTTAATTTTCTCAATCCTAATTTCCGCGGTAAATACAAAAAATGATGTTGCCAATATAGGATTGCCAGTTTTCAGTTGTCTATTGCCATCTTTAATACCATTTCAGCCACTGTCAACTCAACTGAAGTTCCTATTATTTGGGAGAGATTTTGTTTCAGCGTTAACCACTTAATTATTTTACCGCCGAGCCATTTCTTCAGGTTTGAAATCAGGAAATTCACGAAGTTGTCAATTCAATTCAATTATTACTTGATGCAAATGGGGTGTAAAAAATACAGTTAAGCCTCGGTATAAAAACCATTGGAAAAACATCGTTGTGCGCGATATTTTCCATACGAAAACGATTCACATGTTTAACGAAGAAATTTGTAGCATGAAGGCCTTCGGAATATATTTGCCGGTTAAAGGTCCGTTAGCTAAATTATATCAGGTGAAGTAATAAATTTTGTATAAGGTAGCCCAGAGGTTCACAAACTTATTTTTTCTCATAGACCTCTTTCAAAATTTTACTGGTTTCGGTGGACCCCCTGATGCTCATTTCTAACATATTCCCAAAGGTCATCAAAAAAATGTGAAGATTAAAGCTAACGATGTAAATTTCTAACCCGGGTGAGTTCCAAAACTATATTCGAAATGCCAAAAATAAAAATAAGATATGTTCTTGCGTTCTATTTATTAAAATAATGTGATTACACACTTGCAAGTTTTCAAAAACAGACCTCGTAAAGCCATGAGAGAGCTATCTCGCTCTGGGGAGTTATATTTTTTTAAGAGCACTAAATAAACTCCTCACATGTTCGGCTCACTCATTAATTTGCATTTGATGTATTCGTCAAATAGTTTATTTGTGTTGGTGGCATCATTTTTATTTTTATCGCTCCGAGTTTTAAAGTGATGCGAAAAATATTCGGCACTCGCATTTCCAAAACACAAAACTTGAAACAACAAAACTGCAAAGCTTTTTACGCCATACTTCAAATTGAGAAGCTGACAAAATAAAGTAAAGACCGAATCTAGATAAATCGATGATAAACAAACAAGCAAGCAAGAAGCTCAAGAAGTGTTCCACCGTCTCATCCTCTTCAAAGCAGGATGGGCAAATGGAGTTGTCATTTACGCCTATCACAGTGAAGTGACCAGTCAGCAGTTCCGTCGTCTCAGTGAGAGGAAAAAACTAGATAGACCTTATGAGACTGAAGGCAACATGAGTTTTACCCACCTGCATCCACTCGATGGCTCCCAGTCATTGCTGAGCGGAGTATCTACCCAGTTTCTGATGGTGGCTTCGATGGTCGAAGTGGACAGTGCTATAACTGGTTGCGGAACCAGGAATGCCTGGTCTAAGCCAACTGTGGCCAAAGGGTCAGATGTCTCATTGCACTCCCGAGTTGCCCGGCACCCAGAGTAAAGCAACATAATTTAGTCGAGACTTGCATTGCCGAACTAGTTTGGAAGTACTTAGATAGTGGACTGGCCAATGCCATAAGTGCAGCTTGGCTGTACCTGTAGACACCTAAATTCTTTCACCTCCACCTATTTTCCACCACGTAGTCTATGGCTTTGGGGATTGCAAATACCTCAGTCTGGGATACCGAAGCATATTTCCATAGAGAAGAAGTTAAGCTTATTCCCATTAACTTCGAAACATACTCCAGATCCTGACCCTGAGTCAGTTTTGGAGCCATCAGTGAAGATTCGACAATGTACGAGTGCGGGCTCAGTGCTGGAATTAAACCAGCAGTCCCCCTCAGGAAACTGTCTCTCTAGAATCTCTTCAACAAAGGTAATGGTGGCGTACTATCCTGCAGCATTGAAAATACACAAGTGCTCAAATATCAGCCGCCGGCGATTTCCGCATCGCCTCACTCAGTGTTATACCAATATTCGTTTCTTTTTAGTCTGCAGGTGGTCTTTAAGGCTTCCCCACGTATAATGACACAAAGTGGCGGTAAACTCACCAGTGCGTCAAGAGCACTATACACCACTCAAAAAAATTAAAGTTAAATAAATAGGCTATGAAGCAACCATTTTGGTTATTTACTATCGAAACCAGATACATTTTCGTGGACCCCCACTTACAACTCGGGGACCCCCACATTTTTTCCATGCCAACGTAGAACCCTGTCGAGTCTCCCGTTGACACCTGGACCACTTTGGGAATCACTCAGATAGCCGAATGACAGAACATAAAGTGGGAAAGCGGTTTTATTACTTCAACTGTTTATTGCGCCATGCTCATGATTCAATTATTAAAGGTTTTGTAAGTAGCTTTTTTCTAAAATTTGGCACTCCCACCCACAGGGATGGTTTATGGAAGCAGGGGAAAAAGGGGAAGAATTCAATCACACTTCCTAAAATGGGAGCTAAATTCCATAAAAAGGTGTGGATAATAGTGAATGGTGGTATTTTAAAACAAAAACGAATTTGATTTAATTATTTAATTTAAACAAGCCCGATTGTTATTGAAAATAAATATTTCTATGTATATACCAAACTCGCGTACGTCAGATGGCGCATAACTCGAGAATGGATGGTCCACTTTCAGCTTTTTTTTTGTTGTATTTGTTTGACAGATGATGGATATGAAGAAGCTATTTGTTTGTGGAAAATATGCAGTATTTATTAAACAAAAAAAAAACGGCAAATAAAAAAATTTGGAGCTTACGTTTCCTTCGCGGATATGGCTCGATTGTTTCGAATATGGTAATTCGAATTCTTTGATGTCGCACTTTCAATATTCTGGGGAGACTATACAACTGTCAGAATATTAACCATTCGCCGGGTTGCCCGAAAAAAAAATTTGAATGATTAAAAATATCAAAATATAAAAAAAATATAAAAATATTCGCCATAAAAAGGCGTTTGCATTGTTCAACTTTGCATTCTACTTTCAAGTAATCGCTTTCAACAAAGTTGGTCGCCCGCCAGCCAACATTCGCCTCGTGCGTAAACCTTTTAAGTGTGCAATTACATACATCGCGCCATTGACTAAACCGAGCTGTCGTGTGACGATTGGGCCTATGGATGCGGTTTGGCAATATTATATTGCATCAAAGCCTCATTCGGAGACACCAGGAGTGTGTTGTGGAGGACAATACCTAAATACCTTCGTTGGCTCATTTACCAAAACCATTGCATGCTTTACTTTACAGCGACTTGGCAGAATCAAGAGGTCTCCACGAATATCGACAAATATATTTCGGCATTTAAGAGAATTTCGTCTCTTTAGCCTACATTGAATTTCTGTAGTCCAACGATGCTCACACATTTTGTCTTGTTGGCGCCAGCGAATGAAGAACAAACATTTCTTCAAATTTAAAAAGTAAAAATTTCACTACTAACAATTTAAAAATGTTCTTAAAACTTGCAAAGATATTTGGAAAAGAAATATCACTGTTTTTGTTTTTAGGAGTATGGTGGGAGTGTCATTGATAAAATTAGAGCGAGAGAAAGTTTTTCTTACAAAACCTTTCATTATTGAATCATGGCCATGCTCCTGAGTTTAGCGAACGCTACAAAGGTCGGGTTTCAATCGTTTTTTTATGAAAAAAGGTTTCACATACAAATACGTTTTGATAATTTAGAATTTTCGGCACAAGGCGCAAGTAAAAATCCCGTGTATTTTGTTATTGCTTTTTTGTACTGTCAAAACGAAAGAAAATAGGTAGGAGATCATTTTTGTCATTTCGTTTTGTTGACATCCTAAAGTTATGCCATTTCGTATTGGCTGACATTCTAATGTAGATACTAGTGTAGAGACAAAAATATCTAGTACCTAACATCACCTTAATAAATTTAAAAAAAAAAACACAACAGCTGCTATACTACTACTATACCTGTTCAATATGCCTTAATTTGATGTGTGTCTCTAGCATTAAACGAACTAAAGTAACTACAAGGGAAGTATAAAAAGTCACTGACTTATCAAACTACCCTGGCATGTTCGCACTGCAAATACAACTTGACCATGATTCAATAACTTGACTAGCTCTTACTCACAATGGCTAGTGGCATAATATGTAGCATTTGTATAGCACAAAGCTGTTTGCTCATTGGTTACCCGCAACAAAGTGTTGGCCAATCAAAACAGCTGCATTGCAAGTAGGCTACTCACTCACACACTCAACATAACTGTGAAGTGGAGCACAGCGATGGAGGTTGGTTGGAGCATGGCGTACTGCACATACATACATACATACGTATGAACATACGTTACCCAGCAGGGAAACTCTGAACTAGTGGGACAAATTTCTAGTTCCGTACTAGATCTTTATCACCAATAACGAACTAGTGTGATAGTAACTAGATCCCTGCCAATTCAAAAGCAGCGAAATGTGGTAATTTTAAGAAACTATTTAATTTCAGTTTTTAAATCAACATATAGCTTGGAAAGGGTGAAAGTAGCTGCTACATATGTCCCCTTTTTCTACAAAATTATATTTTAATGCAAGGACAAAAGAACAATTAGAAATGCATCCTTTTCTAAAAGTTCGAACAAAACAGTCACAGAAAATGTTTTAAGTCCCACAGAACAAAAAACGTTCCATCAGAAATCTCTATGGAATGTAAGGAATTTAGAACTAAATCGGAACTATCGAAAAAATAATGCAGTGGGGGCTTGTATATTTCAAATTAATATTTGTTTAGCGCATATTTCATTCAAATACTCTTTCATTCTGCACTTCACAGATGCTTCTTCATAGTTTGTATTAAAACAACCAGTAAAAGCAAGCATCTGTGCACACTCAGCCACAGTCAAAGGTATTAAACGTGTTTTCAAATGCTCAGTTTGAATTGCATACATTCTTTCGAACAAATTTGATTTCAAATTGGAAACACATTTCTTTGAAAATAAATTAAAATCGCGTCCATGGGAAAACTAAAAAGACTCTGAAAAAATCATGTTACTTTTTTTTTGCAGCGGAGGCAATTGACCCTTCTTAGGACATCGCATTGTTAAATTCGCCAGTTGCTAGCATTCGAAAGATAGAATTAACGCGCACTAGTCTTGGCTCTAACTTCTCTAGTACCGATCCGATCGTCACAGGGTAAGAACAAAGTCACACGCACGAACATAAGTGCGATTATATGTATGTACATATTACACATATGGATATGAGCGCCTGGTATTTATTGCAGTGTGTGTAGATTTGAAGTTTGTGGGAAAATTAATTTGTGTTGCCATTTTGCCGTTTATTTAAGAAGAGTTCAACAACCGAAACTATATTAGTGAATTATATAATTGATTTGGTCTCATTTTAGAAAGATTTTTATATGATATTTAGGCCATATTACGGCTTTTTTTTCTTACGATGGCCAGCGACGACGCGCTAGACTGGATGTTATGCAACCTGTAGTGTTTGAAAATTTTGGCCAGAAAAATTATGACCTAAAATGGCAATTCAAATACTATAAAATGTAATGATTTAGAACGCTTACATTTTTTGAAGTCCGTCCAATAAATTTTTGTTTCGTAGTATTTTTCATAACAGCCCGTCAATTCGAAAGCAAGCTAATATGTAATTAAAAATTTCGAAAATTAGCAGACACACCAAATTAACACAGTTCGTGAATGAAATTCATAAATATCTGGTATTCTGTCTCTGCAAAAAGAAAGTTTTGAAATTTTGAAGCAAAGAACTAAAAAAATTAAGGAGCAGGGGAAAGCTTCCAGAACTGTGCTAATTTTTATTTATCGTACTCAGCATTTTAAACATAATTTTCATCAATATTTGTATACAAATTGTAATCGAAGTTGCTATCGTTATCGCCGCTTATCTTGTTATCGCTCAAAGATGTCGAATAGTTATCGATTGTTTTATTGTTAACGTTTTTTATAGTTATCGATTTTAATTGATATAGATTTCTTTTCGTTATCCCCTGTTACTTTAGTATTTTCGATAGCGTTATAATTAACATTTGTGTTTTTGGTTGTATTTTTAAACATAGTATATATCACGACTCGTAAAAAGTAATATGGGTATTCCCTTTAACTATGACAAATATAAAAAAAAATCTCAAAAACTTTACTAAAGTTTTTAAATTTCTTTAAAAAAAAAGCGTTCGGGCCTCGAGTTTCTCAATTTTATCGACATTAAAAAGATCACACATGTAATTACTTAAACTTATTTCGATTAATACGCTCGGATTTCGATTCCTTACCCTCGCTATCACTGTTGTCCAGGAAACAAAAAATAAACAAATTTACAATCAAAATTAAAAATGTCAAAGAAATTGTAATGCGAAAAACTTGTGGAAAGTGAAAAAGTTGTAAAACAGCTTTTATTAAGCGCAAAAAATAAAATAATAAATAATAACAAGCCATAGCAACTGCAACCAAATTTTTTGTGTCGCCAAATTATAAGCTTCCCGATACACTTAGCGCTTCGCCAAAATCATGGAGAATGCAAGTAAGTGGTGCAATTGCATCTCGCATTTTGTACTTCAATAACAAGCACGTTCCCATCACAGTTCCCATCAACAATGAATTGGAGCAACGCATATCCGATGCCTTTTGCATATTCGATCACCACGGCGATAAACGCATCGATATACGCGAAGTGGGCACAGTGTTGCGCTTCCTTGGCTGCGTGCCTACCGAGCAGGAAATCAATGAAGTCATAGCAGCAACCGAAATGGAGGAATCTGCAGGCGATGTACATCTCTCCAAATTTATGCCGCATGTGGCGCAATTGTTAGCTGAACGCAAGTGCGTATTGGGTGAAGAAGAGGGTAGAAGAGAAGCGTAGCTCAAGTTGAAATGTGCGAGTTGTGCTTTCGCTACTTTCGCGTTACTTTCTTGTCTCTTTCGTCTAGAATGGAACCAGCGTCACCTGAAAAAATCTTAGCTGCCTTTCAAGTCTTGGATCCAGAGCAAAAGAGCTACATAACCAAAGAGTATATGAGTAAGATGATGATGGAGGAAGGTGAACCGTTCACACAGGAAGAACTCGATGAAATGCTTGCCGTAGCCATTGATCCCCTTACCGGGAATATACCCTACGAGTTCTATATCAATCAGCTAATGGTAAGTGAGAATTTTGTTATGCTACTATAACTTTTGCTCAACTTGCGAAAAGTTTAGTAGTTTCCAAAGAAAAAGATATGAAACGCGCGTTCAAAACGCGCAGGAAGCAAAATGAGTATTGTTTGAAACTTATTTTATTTGATTAACTAAAGTTGACTTTTGTACTATATTTTTATTTAAATATTTATGCAAATTTTATACTTTCAGGTTTACCTGTAAATAAAACATAAAGTTTGCTCAGAGTAGCGGCAACTTAATTAAAAAGTTTCTTCGTAAACACACACAAACAGCATACGAGTCTGTGGCTGTTCAGGCTATTAGGAATCTACTTAAATGATTTAAACAAATGGATTAGACGTACATTAGTTCGGAATAAAGAAACATTTAATTAAAAACTGAAATTGGAGATTTTCTATTTACTTAAGTTATCAAAGAAATTTGGTTCATTTTGTGGAAATATCAAATTGACACATAAAGGCGAATGGGTCATCTAGTTTCGTATAACGCAAATAACATCATCGAAAGGCGAGTATGTCTTTCTTTGATCTTTGGAAAATCCCTTAGACATCTACATACATATATATCGTTGATATGCTCTTAGTTTCCAACAATATTCTATTCACTCGCTCAAGAGCGCCGATGTTATTTATAAAGCACGGTATAACTGGTTGAGGTTTGGCCCGAAATTTCAACTCCCATGAGTATTCAAGAGACAATACCTGCCTGGTGACGAGGAGATGGCCCCGATAGCCGAAGTGAGAGCTTTTGCCGAGCACTCTCAGTAGACTAGTCGATCTTAGATTCACTGCTGTGTCGCCAATGCACATAGTACTTGTTTGGAGAAGCACTGACATCAACAAAAGCAGCGTATACCTACCTCCTTGATTTAATTAATCCTATTTATCCCAATGATGAAATCCCCAACACTAAAAGCACAAGATCCTGTCAGTTTCCCAAATGAATGCTAAACGTGTCTTTGTAGACGAATTCTTTATGCTCCTCTAGCCATCGACGGACAGTCAAATTTCAAATTTTCTATTTCTTCATCTCTATGAATAGATCAATCCGGTCGATATGATAACTCTAGCCGTTATTATCGATACTCATTGGGCAACCGATATCAGCTGTTCATAGGAGATTAATGCCCTCTATTGCAAAAGATAACCTCTACCACTAAAATGGTTCTGGTCCTAGCAGACCAGATACTGAGTATTCCCTCGCCGCTTTATCGCCTACCTTAGACACCGTAGTAGCCTAGAAAACGGCAAATCATGCATTTAGGAAGAGATTTTTCGCTCTCGGTGAGTTCGGGAAAATTTATTTTCAATACTACGATTTATTTTGACGGCGTCGGCAGGTAAGTGGTACTTCAGTGCAGACATATCAAATTTCGTAGCGCAGTTGGGTATAGACTGGAGAATGCGCGCAAAAAGCCATTGCCACCTATCTGGTATATGTTTTGAAATAAACTTTGCTTAAATCTCTTTCGTCTGACAAGCATATTAAAATATTTAATTTGTCAATTAAATTGATTTTGATTTATTACATAAAATGTTTACGGTTAGACCGTTCTTCAGTCCCACTCGTTGGACACCGGTATTACAATATTGCATTAATAAAATTTCTAAACAGGTGGCAGCCGTCTTCAAGAACACTTTTGAAATAAACTTTTTTTAAACCTCACTCGTTTGACATCCATACTAAAATATTTAATTTAACTTATTATTCAATTGATTTTTAATTCCTGACCAAGTGGCAATTTTTGTCAAAAAATCGTATATCTTTCTCGTTGGACACCCATATTAAAATATTTAAATTGATGCTGAATTTCCAAATAGATATTTACACACACACACAAATTAATATATTCGCGAAAATATGGGCAAAATATAGTAAAACTTCGTTTTTCATATTTTTACTCTGACGTCAGGATTTTTTTCAAAGGACTTTAAAATCTCAAAAATATGATTAATTGAAAAAATCATTAAAAAATTTCAATGCAATGTTGTTATCAAATGAAAGAGAAAGCCCTGTAAAATTAAAAAATATTTAATTGTTTGGTGCATAAGGACGAATGGATATGGAAAATTGCATTTAAAAATTTTATCCTTGAAAACCTTTGAAAATTTGCAATATTTATTTTTGACCACCTCCTTGAATTTCGTCCTCCTTACTTTGTTAATTTCAAAAAATTAAATTAATTAAAAGCGCAATTTCTATACTTATTCGTCCTTTTAAAACAAAAACTTTAATGTTTTCAAATATTTTGTTGTAGTAAGGGTCAACGATAATATTCAGCCTTACGGCATTATTACTTATCACGCAATGACAATTTAGCACTCCCCCGAATTGTGAGAGACGTAACTTGCTTAGTCTCAGGCGCTCCCCAGGCCGCCTGCGGTCTACACGTGCCCTGAGGGATTTTGCCAACTTGCATTCCAAGGTCTTCGCCCAGCGCTCGCTGAGCTGACTAAACGCCCATCTGTTCAGAAGCAGACCACACGGCAATGACGTTTGAAATCATAAATAAATTTTATTTTTTATTTGTACGACGAATCAAATAGATTTCTTAATTCATGCCGGAATTAAAATAAAAAAGGATTTTAAATTACGCAACGCTGGTGTTTAAGTTATATGCATTATATTACCATGAAAAGCTTCTCAGATCCAAGAGAGCGAGGAGTGTAGAGAATTTTTAGAGTAGAATTTACTGCCCAAGCTTATCCGTTGTTTCCTATATTTTCATTGCAGGGCCTTATAGGCGCCATAGTGGGGGCGTATGACTCGCGAGACATCTGTGTACGTGTTGGCTCGCCTTTCGACTACACACAGCTGAGTCATTCAGAGCCATGCCAGAGTCATGTCGGTGCAACTATCACATATGTATGTACATATTTAGGTATTTTCAGTAACACATCCAAACCGACTCGCGAGTCAGACTCACCGTGTACGCCGCTTATTTAACTCAATAAGTACCTTTTCTGTCTTTATCTACTTCAAATAACCGGCGTATGAATCAAGATATGTGCACTAGTGCATATCGGGTTTAAAACAAATTCGAAGAAACTCAAACTTAAACTTTAAAGAACTTAATATTTTCCAATTAGAATTCCCATGCTCTAAATGCTCTTGAGAAAATATATATTAATGAAGAATTAAATTTCTACTAAACAAATATGGTAGAGTAAACATAACAGGGAGGTGATACTAGTAAGCCAAAAGCTCACTGCTGCTTTGTTGCATATCATTAACTGTGACCAGACGGCACAGTAGTTATATTAGGTTGCATGCAACATAGAGCCTTCAAAACAACAAAAATTATAAGATGCACAAAATCTCAAGAAGAAAACGGCTATGGTGGCATTCACCCTGCTACTGAGTAAGAAGTTTGCCAACTAACTAATATAGATGAATGTGTATGTGGCTGCATTAAGAGCAGTTGAAGCTATTTTACGACATTATTGTTGTTTTTTTTCTTTTTGTTGTTATGCATAATGTGATTTCATGTACTCTAAAACCCATTTCCCATGAAGAAGTTCAACAAAGTGGTGAAGACGTCATCCAAAAGTCTATGCAGTAACATATATGTAGATACATACATAATTATCAAAAAGAATAACAACAGCCGTAATAAGTGCGACAACAACAGCAAAAATAAAAAAAAAAAACCTACTAAATTGCTTGCAACAGCGTCACTGATTAAAATCAGCAAGAATAAATAAATTCCTAAGACGCTACGAAATGACCCTTCGTCATTCATACAAACTCAGCAGCGAAAGATTCCTGCTTATCACGGCATTCACTGCATAATTTAATCACACCAGAAGCAACAACAATATCAACACTAACAAGCACAATTGCATTGCCGCAGAAATGAGGTGTACACAAGTGCGAAGAGCAGCGTCTTGACTTTTACCTTAAGACAAATTAGCATTTTCCTAAATATTGAAAATAGCACCCCAGCTGTCATGCTAGTGCATACAAGCCCGGAAAAATCGTGAATCCCGAAATTCGGTGGTTTTATATGACGATGTGGTTTCGTTTATGTATTTAGTCCCGAAATATTTTTTTAGATCACGAATTTCAGGGACTTTATAGGATATCTAGTAAAAACATTTACTTTAGAAAAACTAGCCTAACTAGCTAACTACAGAGTTGCCACACTTCCAAAAGTTAAATCAATTAACTAACAAGCTAAATAAAATATTAAAACAAACGGGGTTGTCAACGAAAAAGGGGTTCAAAAACGATTTATTTCAAAAATACTTTTCGAGGCGGTTGCCACCTGTTTATTAAGTTAAAATCAGTTAATTAATACGTTAAGTAAAGTATAACAACAATGTGGACAGCAAACTAAGGAGTTTAAAAATGATTTCTTTCAAAAATAATTTTGAACGGGGGCTGCCACCTGTTGTTAAAGTCGTTTCAACTAACAAGTTCAACGAAATATTTTTAAAGGGTGTTGCCACCTGTTTAGAAATTCAAAATTTAAAACTTAAATCAAATATTTCAATGTGGATGTCAAATATGAGAAGTTATATGAAAGCTGCATCTATTTGGAAAATAATTTTGACTAGGGTTGGCACCAGTTTAGGAATTTTATTAAGAAGCTAAAGGAAATCTTACTATTATTATAAAGGTGAAAGTTTTTTTTGTGAGAGTGTGAGTTTGTTTGTTGGTCTTTCTCTGTGTAAAAGGCTGCTGGCTTTTTATTCAGACACATTTTTTAAAAGAATGCACCCTATAAAAATAATTTAAAAAAATTTATATATTTTACATATGTATGCAGCTACGAAATGTAAGTTCCCTGCAAACCAAAGTTCCCGAAATCTTAACGAAATCTTTAGGAGTATCTGATTTCTGTAACGATTTTTTTCCGAATCTTCAAAGAAAATTATATGAAGTGGTTGGCACGAACTCGTAAAGAAATTTCTGTACGAAAAATAAAGAAAATTCTGAAAAAAGTCTGCAAGAAATTCTTCACATAGCAGCATTATTTTCATTTCTTTACCGATTTTCTTCCGAAATTTCGTAAAAGAATGGAAGTGTGCGTAATTTATTTCATTTTAGAAAATTCGGCAAAAAATCGGATGGTATCTTTCCGAATTCTTTAAAAATTCTTTACGATTCAGAATACTCTGATAAAATGGTTTGCAGGGTTGTTTTTTTCATTCATTCATTTTCTGGAAGCTCGAGACAGTAAAAAAAAAACTTATTTTTCAGTGATTTTTATTTTATTTTTTAATACATTTGATATCATAACGTTAAACCGAACTTAACGCAGGCGAAGCTGCGGGTAAAATCTAGTTTAACATAAGCCCGTTATTGCCTGAATGATGGTATAAATATTCGTGATCTCGATAGCGGAAATCCGGGATCTGGCATTCAGTTATTCAGGATCCCGAATTTCTATGTTAGATACCCCAAGCCATCCACACGCCACAACACCACAACCAAACCACCACCACCACCATCACAAATTCAGCGTCCGTCAGACGCGCGCGCCAAGCAGCCACCGCGCCGCAGAACAGGTGCCAAGATGAGCAGCAAGTGTGCCTATTACCAGCCATAGTGGGAGCTGTGGTAGTGCTGGCGCTGGTGCCGGCGCTCTCAAGCGAAACAAATTTCGAAATGAAACTTTTGCGCAATTTTCCCACGCGATTTGTTATTTTTTTTTCACTCCCTCCTCTTTGCCTTCAATTTTATTCAAGCAGCGTGTGAAAATTTTGAGGCAAAAACTATGCGTGGCGAAAAACAAAAGAAAAAATACAAAATAAGCAAAACAACGCTAAGGTTGTTTATAAGAAGTTGGAAAAGATCAGATTTTCAAGTTAATTAACCACTAAGAAAATAAAATATTCAAACATCACCTCGTACAAATGTAACAGGGTGAGTTGAGACCTTTTGTAGTTGCTTAGCTGAAAGCCAAAGAATTTTCCTTTTCCAACTAGAATTTCATGTATGTAAGAAGTGTAGCACGCAATGCACTTGCCCTTTGGAAACTATGTAGTTTGGTGGTGGTGGAAATTGTCTTGAAGACGTCTTATAAGAAATTGCTCTAGATAGTAAAGGGAAATTTTAATAATAATGATAAACGTAGAGAGCATATTTGGTTGGGAATTCTAATTGGTTGC